ACCCATTGAAGTAGAGTTTAACATTTCCCTACTTTATCTCCCTTAATTTAAAAAAAAAAAAATGAATTTAGAGTTATTTCACAACAAAGAGTTATCCAGCTCTACTTCATCACCAAGAAGCCCAAGTAAAGACGAAAAGAAGTGTTTTTCTGGAAGGAATTAAAAAAGAAAAAAAAAAGAAAAAAAACCTCCCAGAATTTAATCTCTGAACAGTATTATCTTTCTAGTAAGAGAGCCCAGATCTTGCTTCCCCATAACCTTCCAAGTTGCAGTCTGTGTTCTGTCTATCAGAAATTCCTCCTTCCCACCCACGAGTACCCTTCTGTTGTGGGAGAAGGAGGGCCTTTCCAGTCTTTGGCCTGGGGCCAAGCCAACCCTCAAACTGTGGTTTTCTCTGAGTCTCCTCACTGAAGCATGGCTGTTTCCCACACCCAATAAAGAAGCAAAAGTCTTGTATATGTTGACCAGGTCTTGAGTGGAGGCCAGTGCTTACACAGCTCTCACATTCCCAGGACATTGACTGATGACGGTGTAGCCCCCTTCCCGGTTGTTAACCCACAAGTGCAGCGTGGTAGTATTGTGCATCCAAACCTCACCTTTCTTAGGATTTATACAGAGAGAACTTTATCTAATTCTTCTGTCCATTTATGAATGAATATCAGGACAAAACAATTCACATAATCTGTCGTTGAGGGAATTGTAGGATTGGGGCCAATACGCTATGAGAGGCCTGGGGAGGCAGATTTCTGCCAACAGTCTAAATAAAGTCATTTATATATCTGCTTTTTAACATTGCCTAAGTACTTTCCTGGGCTTCTTCTTATCAAATGTGATTGCTTTAATTTCATTATGCATACCCTTGGTTTTGGTGAAATACCTGGGAACTTGTCTACATTACTGACTCTTTGGAATTTTGGATGGTACAGAATTGTGAGCATTTCATTATCCATTCAGTATATTAGAGTATGGTTACTGAACAGCAACTGAGAACCTAGAGGCTTTTTTGCTGTATTTGGATAGAGTATCTGCTTTTTTGAGATGCAGTACATTTATGTTATATTAAGGCTTAAACAAGCATGACTCTTTGGTAGATTGAGGATTATATCTCAGCTCAGTTAGGATTTCATTTTGCTGCATCTAGCAGACCCCTCTCCCTGCTATGGCTTACCAAGTTAGAGGTTTTTTTCCCCCCATATAATCAGAAATCTAGAGTTAGGCTCTCCTGAACTCTGTGGTACTGTCAGGAGCCCATGCTTTTCCTGTCTTTATGCTTTGCAATCCTTAGGAAGGATTTTACCCGATGCTAGCTAGATATCCATATTCTGGGTGGGAGGAAGAACAGTAAGGGGCAAAAGTTGTGTACTAACCCAGTTTGCCCCTCTTTAAAGAGCTTTCCTGGAAACTGCACCTGGAAATTTCTGTTTATATCTCAGAGCTATGTCACATGGTTATTTCTAAGTACAGGAGAGATTGGGAAATACAATTTTTTAGCTGGGCACACATCATTACCCAAACAAAATAAGGGCAGTATTATTAGGAAAAAGGAAAGAAGTGTTAGTATCCAGGCAAGTGACAAGTCTCCTAAGCAATAAATTCTCCTAATTCCTTTTGTTATTTGAGGTAAAGACTGATCTTATCACCCCAGAACATCAATATCTAAAGGCCTGCCATAAAATTTGCATCTAGGAAGATGAATTATTATTTTTTTATTTTTTTTAAGATTATTTATTTATTTATTTGACACAGAGATAGAGACAGCTAGAGAGGGAACACAAGCAGGGGGGAGTGGGAGAGGGAGAAGCAGGCTCCTGGCCAAGCAGGGAGCCCGACGCTGGGCTCGATCCAGGACCCTGGGATCATGACCTGAGTCAAAGGCAGACGCTTAACAACTGAGCCAGCCAGGCGCCCCAAGATGAATTTATTTTTGTTTGGGATCTACAGAAGGGCTTACTTATATTTTGTGGCTGAGTATAAGTTGAACACAAATAATACACTAGGCCCTATTCAAAGTCCAGAGAATGGTCCTAGTACAAGATTACATCTCTATGTAAAGACAAACTTGCCTGTTTTCTTGTTATAGGAATTTGGTTGTTGAAAAAAAAAAAGTGAGTAGTGGTTACAATACAAGTTTTGTTATTTGCATCCATGGGATAAATGTTTATTAAGCACCTTTTATGTACAAGGCCGTCTAGGCACTGTGAGTGAAACAAAAAGTAATCAGATGTCAATCCAGCCATCTCCAGTGTGCATTGTCCAGAAGGAGAGAAAAGTACACACATCAGTGTCCATAGTACAAGGTAGAATGTACTAAATGTGATAAGACACATACAAATAAATTGTTACAAGCATTCAGAAGAGGAAAAGATTATTCCTGCCAGAGAGAAGTGAGTAAATATGATCTGGGGAACCTAAACACATGTTTTCATTTTAAGAGTTTGCTTTCACGGCTAGTGAGCATCATCCTAAGACTAGAAAAATATGTTGATAAATGCATAACCAACTGCCAGTCACAGATCATTACAGATAGGCAGACTTGCATGTCATCCCATCCTTTGGTTCCTCAGTAAACTGAGGTGGAGGTTTAGGGAGGAATGGAGCATTTGTTGAGTGTCTCCTATAAGCCTGGTATTTGGTCTATTACAAGAATCCTTTAATGAATGCCTGGGCTAGATTTACATATGTGATCTTCATTTAATCCCCAATAATCCAGCAAAGTAATCTAATTGCCGATGAGGAAGCTAAAGGCCAGAGAAGTTCAATAACTTGAAAAGGTCACCCCGTTTATAAGTGACAGAGCCCACATTTGCACCCAGGCACGTTTGACTGCAAAGCCATGCTGTTTTCCACTTACCTGAGTCTCTGCCTTTCACTCATGACCAAATCTGGATTTGTAGGCATGGTAAGTGTTGAACAGTGAACTGCTTCTTCAGCCCGGCCTAGTAGTGAGTGCTGTACCCACCTGGTTGAAACTTGGGTGCCATTTGGATGCTTCGACTTGTATTCAGAGTTAATTTTGTTACCTGCTTAAATCTTAAGAGAATTGGACTTTCTTTTTTTTTTTTTTTTTAAAGATTTTATTTATTTATTTGAGAGAGAGAATGAGAGAGAGAGAGCACATGAGAGGGGGGAGGGTCAGAGGGAGAAGCAGACCCCCTGCTGAGCAAGGAGCCCGATATGGGACTCGATCCCGGGACTCCAGGATCATGACCTGAGCCGAAGGCAGTCGCTTAACCAACTGAGCCACCCAGGCGCCCGGACTTTCTTTTGACCTTTGAATAATTTATTTTTGTAATAAGTAACTACATATAGATGGTACAAAATTCAAAAGGATATAAATGATATATAGTAAACAATTAGTTTCCCTCTCTCCTGGACCCCCAGCTAACCAGTTCTCTTCCATGGAGGTTACTAGTTTTTTTTGTATATCCTTTCAGAATTGTTCTGTGCAGATACCAACCTTATGTGTATGTTTTTCTGTGTGTTTGTGTATCTGTGTGTGTTGGTGTGTGTATATATGTGTGTGTGTGTGTGGTTATGCATATTCTTTTTTCTTTTTACAAAAATAGGTGCTTATTATACTCACACTGTTCTGATCTTGCTGTTTTGTTTTTATTTTTTTATTGTTATGTTAATCCCCATACATTACATCATTAGTTTTAGATGTAGTGTTCCATGATTCATTGTTTGTGCATAACACCCAGTGCTCCATGCAGAACATGCCCTCTTTAATACCCATCACCAGGCTAACCCATCCTCCCACCCCCTCCCCTGATCTTGCTGTTTTTATTATTTTTTTTATTTGTATTTAGATGTCCCAGCAGGATTTTTTAGCAAAATAAAAACTCAGTGATCTTGAAAATATGGTTCAGTTGTCACCTTGGCAACATGTACTGAATGGATGTTCTTTACTGATGGCAGTTCCTTTACAGCATGAAAAGTTGCACTCCATAAGGAATATTTTCATTTCCAAGAGCCTGTGGCTAACAATGGCTTTTCTTCTCTGCTACTCATTCAGTGAATTTGTCTATGGATGGCTGCTGTAGAGCTCTTCAGCCCTCTGAGCAAATATACCTTTGTGTTGATCTTAGATTCATTTAGCAACTAGTATTCGATAGTAATTTTAGTTTGAAAGTGTTTTATTTCATTTTTTCAAAGATTTTATTTTTAAGTAATCTCTATACCCAGCTTGGGAGACTTGAACCTACAGCCCTGAGATCAGCTCTACCGACTGAGCCAGCCAGGTGCCCGTGAAGGTGTTTTAAAATGTAAAGTCTTTTTTTTTTTTTAAGATTTTATTTATTTACTTGAGAGAGAGCTAGCGCGAGAGAGAGCACAAGTGAGAAGGAGAGGAAGAAGCAGGCTCCCTGCTGAGCAGGGAGCCCAGCGTAGATCTCTGTCCCAGGACCCCAGGAACATGACCTGAGCCGAAGGCAGATGCTTAACCGACTGAGCCACCCAGGCGCTCCTAAAATGTAAAGTCTTACGTCACTCTTTAGGTCAACAACGAGTTACTATGTCAGAAAAGTTACTAACAGAACTTTTCTGTTCCAGCCTCCTCTCTCCACCCACTCTGCTCACTGTACCATTACCACACCGGCTTCTTTCCACTCGTCTTCTAGAGGAGTTCACAGTTCTCCGAGTGCGCTGGAGTTGAGTCGAGCTTCAAGCCACTTTTGTTTTGTGCGTTATTTCTCATGCTTGACACCCAGTAGGAGACATTCATTAATTATTTGTTGAATTTAACAATGAAGGAAACAAAGGCTGAGAGAGACCAAATGCTGTTCTGATTGCTGCAGGTGGAGAATGCACAGTACCCAGATACCCTGATTCCTAGCCCAGTGTACTTCCAACAAGACCATCTCAACTCTATGCTTCCAGAGATTGCCCTTCTCTGAATGTGGCCCTGCACTGGCATTATTAGAGAAATTTGTCCTAAAAAATTATAGCAAGTGGGTTGTAAAGGGCATCTCCATTGCCCATCTTTTTTTTTTCTCTTGTAGGCCATCTTTGGCAGCCAGGCACTCTCTAACTCCAGTTTGTGGACAATAAATAATGGTGCAGCTTGCAGAATTTCAAGTGCCACAGCTAGTGGCCAGAAGCCAACCACTCTGCCACAAAAAGTGGTGCCACCTCCAAGTTCTTCCTCCTCGCTGGTCCCCAAGCCCCCAGCCAATCACAAACAAGTCCTCAGAAAGACGACATCCCAGAGGGCCTCCAAGTAAGTTTTCCTTAATCTTCTGTTCAGTTTCTTCTGAGTTGTATCAATTCTGTGCTAAGAGTACTCTTTATTTACGAGGCCTTCAAAATCCTTTGTACTGAAATGTTGAAGACAGGAACCCCTGCTGGGGACTAAAAGTTAACTATGGTTCTCAGCCTGGGCTGTAAGTCAGAATCACCTGGGGAGCCAGTGAACCCTGCCAAGGTCGGGTTTATAATTTCATATAAAATTCAGTACTCCCTCCCCCTCCCCCCTTCGCCAACCCTTGTTTGTTGTTTACTCCTAGGTGTTTGAATGTGAAGACACTGGAATTGGATTTCATGGGGGCAGGGGTGGGAGTTAACTTCATTGACATTAGTCAGCAGGCTCTCTAGAGCAACTTATTTCTAATACCTTTTGTAGTATGCCCATTTTACCTCAAAAAGGCATTTCCATGCCTGAATCAAATTTTTTCACATTCCTTCCTTCACTCTATTTCCAGCCATATTTTAGCTAATGAACCAGAAATAGACTAATAAAGAGTATTAGTTCTGACAGCCCTTCTCCATTTAAAATTGGGGAACTTTTCAAAGATGCCTGTAAGAAGCAGGAATTCCCTGGTGGATAAACGCCTAGAGGGGGTTAGTGTATTTCTCTTGCTCTCATTAAGGCTCTCCATTCATTTGTCCTTCGCAAAATCAATTTTAGTTGTAAGAACGAATCCTAGGACATAGAAAATGCAGTTCCTCTTTTTTCCGCCTTGGACAGTGAATCAAATTCTGGATTTGGATGGAAACCAATCCCTCGTGGCTGTTTTAATTATACTGCTGCCATTATTCATTTATCCAACAGATATTTACTCGGTGCCTACTAGGTGCCAAGTGCCGTTGTAGGAATAAATCGCATTGTAATGACTTTACAGAACTCTCTGGAGCAGTAGGGAAGAGTAGTCAGAAGGGGGCAGGTTGTGATTGAAGGCCAAGAGCACAGTAAGAAGGAAGCTGTATGGCTCCTCACCCTGGCAGGAGTAGAGGTGAGTCCTTAAGGGTGCAGCCTCTGGAGCCAGACTGCCTGTGTTAACACCCTCACTCCACAATTTACTAACTGGAGACCTTTGGCAAGTTGCAAGGTCCTTAATCTGTTAGCCTCACTTTCCACAGTTCTGAAGTGGAGATAATGAAGAGTATCTTCTTCATAGGACATTGCTAACTCTTAGCAGAGTTAATACACGTAAAGTACACAGAACAAGACCTAGCCCACAGAAGAACTCAGTGAGCCTTAGTTGCCATCATAAGCATTCCAAAACCATGCTCCCTTTCACAGGTTCGAGAAGCCCACAGTTAGGTAGGAAAATCCGTGAGTCAGGGATGAATTTTGAATTTGCCGGTGAGCTCCCTGTTTGTGGCTCCTCTGAGTATTGCCAGCAGCCTGAGATGGCCCACGATGGCCTGTGTGGCTGGCTGGTCTGCCCCCGGGCAGGGAGGGGTGGGGAGCAGGAGGTGGGCTCTGTCAGCAGGCAGCAGCCTGGACATTTGAAGATGCCGTCCACTGCCCTGAACTCATTGCTGGCAAGAGAACTCTTCAGCCTTTAGAGATGGAATTGCAGCTCTATGGACAAACTTTGCTGCATTTTTGTGGTTTCTTCTCTCTGACAGGCAGGAGTGTGGGAAAACCGGAAACAGCTCAGCACCAAAAATGCACAGAAGGGGGGAAAAAAGCAAGATTTCTTCAGAATTTAAGAAATATAATCCAAGTATCAAAAGGCATGCTGTAAGGCGTTGTTCCAGGAAATAGTTTCCAATTTGCCTTTAAAATTCTAGCACAAGTCTCTGAAGCTAAATAAGTTAGTACTAATGGAGACCTTAACATTTCTCTCACTTAACGTGTAAAATGCACAGTGTTGTGAGGGCCCCACTGTTTTTAAAATTCTTCGGCCTTTTAGGAAAAGGAATAACATCGTTCTTATCTGACTCGACTCAATGAAAAGTTCCCTCTAAAAAGTATTCGGATAAAGGTTTTTTAAAAATCACCTTTTTATTTTATAGTAATTTCAGATTTACAGAAAGGTTGTAAAGACAGTACACATGAAAACAAGAACACCCAGTTCTCCCCATTGTTAACATCCTGTATGACCATGGTACATTTGAAGAAGGTGCCGTACTGAAAAACTGTCATTGGTACATTATTATGAACTATAAACTGCATACTTCATTTGGATTGATGAAGTTATTTTTAATCTAGAGAAAACTTTCATGGCCCCTGAAATTAGGATCCTTGAGTATGAGTCGATAATATTCTTATTGTTCTAAAGTAATTCATGTTCCTAGCCAGCCTAGCAAGTTACTTAACATTTATGTGACTTCATTTCCTATTTAAAATAGGGATAATAATAGTACCTGCCTCATGGGGTTATTAAGAGAAATAGATGAATTAACGTCAAGCACAAATACGGTGCCTGGTACATAATATATGCTGAATAGGTGTTCGGCATTATACTATATCATACTTAGGTTAATTACTAGGATGGCATTTCAAGAAATTTTCATGTAACTTTTTACTTTCTTCCTGCAAGATACATTGCTTCATTTGCTGGGAGCTCATTTCGGCCTTTATTCTGGCTCAGTTCAGATTAATCAGGAACCCTCAGTTATGAGTGGTGATACTGAGTCACACTCAGGAATGCCCTAGTTGCCCCAAGAGACACAACTAATGAGAAGTTGTAATGAGCTATTGACCGTGCCAGGCCCTGTGTTTTTGGGTTGAACTTCAAACTTCTCCTAGCACAGAAGTTGGCATTGGACAAATATAGAAGCAATTTCCAAGAGCATCAAAGTTTCCACATCCTAGAGGATTGAGTTTACAGAACAATAGAACATAAAAGATGGAATGTCGTTTGGATGTTGATGCAAAGGGAGTTGAGAATCAGAGCAGTGGGGTCCTATTTCTTTATGATAATATTCAAGTGACTTTCCCTCTAAAGGTTTCAGTTTCCCATCTGTAAAACAAAACCACTGTCCCCACTGAGTAATTAACCCAAATAACTTGTTTTCTGTCTGTTCCATTGAAAACTTTTTATGAGCACATTCGTTTTTTAATCCTGTTGCTTTACAGCCATTTCTTCATCCCCACTTGGCCCAGAAAGTCTTTGTTGTAGTTCTCAGATTCATATACTTTTATTTCCTTTAGCTAAATCTCCTTGGTCAGTTCTGTGAAGAGAACGATTTAAACTTTTTTCCCCTTTCCATAGTGCCAAGAGCCTTGCTTGATTTTCCTCTCTAGTGTTTGCAGCACGTCATAATTTAGTACCCACTTCGGATCCTCCTTTTACAACTATTTGTGGTATTTCTCCCAAACAGCTGAACCAAGAGGGATGACAGGCTAGGAGCAACTACATGCCTATGAACTGTGTCTTCCTTGTAAATGACCTTTTTCTCAGAGCCAGAATCGTACTCTCCAGGAAATATAGAGAAAGAAACCTGAGGAGATTCAAGTTTGCCAGGGACATGGGCAAAACTCATGGACTAGCCATGACTGGGAAGGGCAGAGTCAAAGCTGTGGTACCTGGGGCTTCTCTGAAGAAAGAAAACTGCGAAAAAAAACCCCAGACTTAGCTAAAGTGCTTTTCTTTAAATAGCTGGGATTAAATGCCCAAGTTGTAGGATATTCTGCATCAGGGTGACCTCAGTGGAAATTGAAGGTAACTTCTGTGTCAGCACCCAGGACAGTGGTGTTTGTTAATGGCTGCTGGGCATCGGGAAGGGAGGAGGGTGGCCAGGAGCCCAGCAGCATGGGGAGACTTGTACCAGTTCATGGGACCTGAATATGTATTGATATGAGCAATATGATGAAAGATGCAAAGATGCTCAGAGATTAAGGTCAGAGAGATATAAAAATGAGGATCAGGTTTAAAAAAATACGCTCTATTTTTTTAACATATGAGTCATTAACTAATGTGAGGCAAAGTGATCAAGAGTTCTAACAGTCCAAAAGTAGGTTCTTGATGTGAGGATCCAAGGAGTCATATTGTAGCCAACCATCTTCTGTCAGTCTTTCAGCCTTTTTTATTATGTGTAGTTTCAAGAAATACGAGCAAATCTGTGGCATATCCATCCTTAAATACAGGATTCTCTAAATTATGTATTTCCAAAATATATAATGCTAGACTTTTAGTGCTGAAAGATAAAAGACTGCAGGCATAGTGAAAGGCTGTGAGTGGAGCAAGGTCCACAGGTGGTCAGTGGCAGAGCCAAAGCCGAATCTGGGTCACCTACTGTGCTAACCCCAGACTCTTCCCAATAGACCACTGATTTCAAAGGCCCCCCACCAACCTGTTCAGATCCATTCTGTACTGCAAATGACAGGTTAATCATCCTAAAATACTGCCTCAGGGAAAATGCAATGTAAGCACTTAAGAGCACGCTCCCTTCTCTTTCCACACCAGTTTTACTACTTAAGTGGCCACTGAAATACTCAAAAGGGGGAAGAATTATTGTCACTCTCCTACTGAAGTGTTGGGAGAACTTCTGTTAGATGTAGCACAAGAAGGATTGAATTGAACAATACTAAGGGCTTTTATATACTTCCTTCCTGTGAGAGTGAAGTCTAGGAAATGACTGGGAGACCTGGAATATACCAGACAACACCCTGTCACTCTAAGGGGAAGGTCCTGGAAGTACAAAGAAAGGGGGTGAGGGGAGCTAGTCAAGGGGTCTGCCACTTAGACTCTTTCCTCTATCAGCCCTTAGCATTTGGACTTCAGTGGTGGTGTTAGGAGATCTTAGGGTTTTGCTTTTGGCATGGATGATGACATTGGTCAGAGAACTGGGTGCTAGTAAGCACACCGAACCAGAAGTTGCTGCTGGCATGTGTATGGTCCAGTGAGGAGAGGAAGTACATGAGAGTCATGGAATGATGGGTCTTCCTTTGGTGATTCATACTTGGGTAATTTAAATTAAAATCTTACTTCTCATCCCTGCCACTGGGATGTAAAAACAGTTGTTAAAATGGTAATATAACTGGGG